GACATATAGTAAGAGAGTGAGTATTGTTTTACGCCACTTTTAGCAATATCCCAGCAATATCACGGCGGGAGACGGGAGAATATAATTCACACATTGTACCCATGTCGGGAATCGAACCCGAGTCGAGCGAACGCTTTAACCACAAGACTACCCGACCGCCCCCGCCGTCATATAGTTGTAATATTGTTTAGTGCGGCGTTAAACAACAGACAGACAAACAAACAAACAAACAAACAGACAATATACTCATGGCACAACACTTATACTATACATGCCTTATACTCATGGTTGTTTGTTTGTTTGTTTGTTGTTTAACGCCGCACTTATACTCATGGGACCCTAGGTTTTTTAGGTAGTCATGTTTTGTTTTGTTTTTCATTTTTAGGGGCTGAGATTTTGTTTCCTTCTGAAAAGAGAGCTGAGATTTGTTTACGGCACATTTCATATTCAACTTATAGAAAGAATGTTACAATTTTCTCACTATTCACTAAAACATAATAACTGTATAGATAAAGGTGATTTTGAAACAGAACAATGAACATAGCAGAATAATAAAGCATTTTATCAAATAATAAATAAAAGACCATTTGTTACCTCACCTTGTGTAGCAAAACCCAGTCAGCTTGACATGTTGGTACTCACACCTACTGGAGGAATGTACCTTTCAACTACTAAGATTGTGAATGATGGACATAAGTAGCATAGCTTTTGATGTATATGACGAAAAAAAGAAACGCTACCAACTGAAAGTTGGACACGTTGGGTCCAAACCCCGAATAGTGTTACAAAATGGTTGAGAATCATTCGCCCAAACACAACCACAACAGTTTGCTTAGGAATGCACCTGCTACATTACCCCGGTCCGTGGAACTTGAGTCATGCAAGCCTACACAGATATGGATATAATAGTCACAAATAACTTGCTGAGAGTAATGGTACTGAAAAAACACGCCATTGGTCTGATACATCAAGAAGCAACGCATGACCGCGTTGCAAGGAGTGTTGGCTACAGCCGAATGACAGCCACCAGGTTGATGGTCCGTTATAGGCACACTGGGTGGACGGGAGAAAAGCGATACTTCATCGTCGACGTCGTTGTTGAGGAGGCGGCCTTGGCCGACGTCATGACTAGCCATACATCATAACAATACCCCTAAACGTCGTGGAGCCTTTTTCCCGAAAAGCATTTGAAAAATATTGAAAGTCCAAGTACACAGTAAAATGCATTTCTCTAATCATAAAGACAAGTTTTTGCCTCAGATTGGTCAGATGCCATCTGACTATCACACTATATCAAGACAAACCTAGCCGAAACATCGATCTAACGTTGACGTGTCCATCAACACCACCGTTGCTGCCATCACGTACATAACCCAGCTGCTCCAGACAGCGCTTTCTCATACCCTTTGAATGTCAAAATCGATGTACACCAAAAGAACGGTACATTTCCAAGAACATTCGGCATAACCTTAAGTTTGACCTTAACGAGTGTATTCAACACTGTTTGTTTGTTGTTGAACTCCGCCCCACTCGGCAATAGTCCAGCTATATGACGGCGCTGTGTAAATAATCGAGTCTGGACCAGGAAATCCAGTGATTGAGCATCGAGCCACGCAATTGGGATACGATGACATGCATCAACCAAGTCAGCGAGCCTGACAAATCGATCCCGTTAGTCGCCTGTTACGACAAGCATAGTCGCCTTTTAATGCAAGCATGGGTTGCTGAAGACCTATTCTAACCCGGATCTTCAAGGGTGGTGTATCCCCCATGACTGTTTTATCGCGAATTGTTTGAGCTGTATTACAGCTGTATAATCTACAACTACCATATCTCAATCTGTCCGGCGATATGTAAATAGCATTAAGCCTGACACTTTAGGCCTGTTGATATACTGGACGGAATGATCCACTTCAACATATTTCGAAGACGTTTATGCAGAAAGTGATAGATGAGGGGTTATATCTTCGCAACTAATTAAGATGGTGATAGATTTAACGTTTTCATCATGGAGATTATTTCAAGCCGGGTAAGAGCAGAGACTTTTATGGATGTTGATTAATAACGTTTCGGTGAAGCAGCACCTAATTAATTAGCAGCATTACACTGGTCAGATTACCATGACACCAACCTCCCACATTGGGGAGACCACATACGGGTCTTTACAGACCTATTGGACAGAGGAAATTGTATTCATCCCCTGGGATGCTGCTTGGGAGGGTTATCGATTGTTGACCGCCCTTATATCCCCGGACATGTACTCACGTAAATTAAAAAGGCTACCTTCACTGTCATACACACGGCTAGAACATGGCTCGGCCAATCTACTCTTCTGTTTGACGATGGGCTGGCGGACGGCTTTGGGTCATTTGGATGTCCGGGCAGCGATATGGGAACCCTGTCCTGTTTCCTTGCTGTCAGTGACAATATATTGTTGCAAGCGGGAACTGCTGCTCGGGCTGGGTACTCCAGGGGTTCCCCGACATACATTGTTGGCCTCCGCAGCCTGATTCAATGGCCTGGTCTTGTATCGACGAACAGTAGCTGTGGGTTTATTACTAGGTCGCCATTGATGTGTCGTAAGATGAAGGAAGGTGAGCGTGCCATCAATAAAGTTGCAGAGCTTCGAGCTGGTCTGTTTCATTACTTGTTAATGGCAGTTCTGTCGGTAGTGTAGGGTTACTGGCCTCAGCGTGTACCACCTCAACTATTGGTAAATGGCTGTGGGTTACTGGCCTCAGCGTGTACCACCTCAACTGTTGGTAAATGGCTGTGGGTTACTGGCCTCAGCGTGTACCTCCTCAACTGTTGGTAAATGACTGTGATTTACTGGTCTCAGCGTGTACCACCTCAACCTTTGGTAAATGACTGTGATTTACTGGTCTCAGCGTGTACCACCTCAACTGTTGGTAAATGACTGTGATTTACTGGTCTCAGCGTGTACCACCTCAACTGTTGGTAAATGACTGTGATTTACTGGTCTCAGCGTGTACCACCTCAACTGTTGGTAAATGACTGTGATTTACTGGTCTCAGCGTGTACCACCTCAACTATTGGTGAGTGGGTGTGGGTTACTGGCCTCAGCGTGTACCACCTCAACTATTGGTGAGTGGGTGTGTGTACTGGCTTCAGCGTGTACCACCTCAACTATTGGTGAGTGGGTGTGTGTACTGGCTTCAGCGTGTACCACCTCATCTATTGGTGAGTACCTGTGGGTTACTGGTCTCAATTTAAAACAAAAGACAAATATAGAAGTGGAAAAAAAGTTTTCGCGTTTTAGGATATTTTCTCAATATAAGTAAATAGTTTTACGAGGTGTGTTTATCTAAATGTGTAGACTAGATGAAACACATATATAACTCTTTGAATGGACAGTGTAAGATGTGACGAATCAGCAGTTTAAGAGTGTACACTATCCACTGTGTTCAACACAGGCATCTCTTTCAACATATTGTTGAAGGAAAGAGTTCATGCCGTGACAGTGCAAAGCTTGACATGCCTTGCTTTTGCTTGGCTGGCACACTGTCTTTGTGTGTTTCAACACAGGAGTTCTTTCAAAAAATCAGTGACAGGATCTTAACGTCTTGTGACTGAGGTCGCCCGGAATTGTTTTGCCCATACAAAGTTCAGTTGAAATGATGTTCAATGTAACTACATCCCACCTTGAGGTGAGAAGTGAGTACCACCCCAGGGACGCAGGATTTGACTTTACGCGCTGTGTTTGTTTGTTTGATGTTTAACGCTGCACTCAGCAATATTCCAGCGATGTAACGGTGGCCTGTTAACAAACGAGTCTGGACCAGACAATCCGGTGATTGAAACCATGAGCATGGATCCACGCAAATGGGAAACGATGACATGTATCAATAGCGAGCCTGACCACCCAATCCCGTTAGTCACCTCTTACGGCAAGGATGGGTTGCTGAAGACCTATTCTATCATCATGGGTTTACACGCTGTGTCTATGTTTGGTATCGAGCTCGGGTCGGGGAGTGACGAGGAAACACACAAGAGTTGCCTGAGATGTCAGGTATTGTCACAGTGTCACCCACGCCTTGGTGTAGAGACACGGAGGTACTGTGCATCGAGGCAGGAACTAGCTGTAGGGGGTAATGGAACCACATTGGCACTTTCACATCCATTAGGACTATATTACCACAAGGAATGGTTTCCCAACCGCCCTAACGTACTAAACCCGCATCTTTAATTCCGGAGGGCACAGGGCACAACTCTTTATTCTAATCACATTGCTCAATATGCATCCTATACTCGCAAAGGAGTTTCTTTGTAGGTTAGTCGGTCGAATTCGTTTTCATGTTTTTGTCTCATCAAGGCAACTAGTGAGAATGGAGAATGGTCCTGGCGGCGATACGTTGTTTACAATGACAACTCTCCACAAATAAAGGCGCACTGGTACTGAAGTTTCGCACTGTGGGACCATGCAAATAGCAGGTTTTCAATCAAGGGAGATTGATTTTCGAGCGGTATATTTGCATGTGCGTCGTGAGGCGGATGGCTGGATGATAGAGCAACAAGTCGGGTTGCACAGCCCCGGGGCCCTTCAGCCTACACTTCGTGTCTTCAGTCTGATGTGCACAAACACTATATTAAAACTAGGGAGAGAGTTTCGCACGTTTTGCTCGCCATGGAGTTTTGGTAACGGAAAAAACGGTTTCCTCTATATCTTATTGATGATGACGCTGACAGGACCAGTGTAATAACTGCAGCAAGGATTAATGTTCGAATAAATGTATATCATTACTGATTCTAAATGTGGTGCTGGTTCCATTCTCATATGCAAGGTCAATTTGCTGCAGGAGTTGCTTATATTATCAAGGACCTTTCCATGGAGTTATTAAGAGTTATGCAATTATTTTAATTACTAAATTTGTAGTCATCACCAAACATGTGCGCGACATAAGTAGCCTTTCTATTAAAATAACCTGAACAACTCACTGAAACATATGATTGATTGACTTCGTGTGAAACGTCTGGTAGTCTCAGGGGAAAGGGGCGGTAGGGTAGTCTGGTGGATTAGTCTGGTGAGGGAGTTTGGTGGAGTAGTCTGTTGGGGTAGTCTTGTGGGTAGTTTGGTGGAGTAGTCTGTTGGGTAGTCTGGAGGGTAGTCTGGTGGTGTAGTCTGGTGGGTAGTCTGGTGGTGTAGTCTGGTGGGATAGTCTGGTGGTGTAGTCTGGTGGGTAGTTTGGTGGAGTAGTCTGTTGGGGTAGTCTGTTGGGGTAGTCTGGTGGGTAGTCTGGTGGGTAGTCTGTTGGGGTAGTCTGGTGGGTAGTCTGGTGGGTAGTCTGGTGGAGTAGTCTGTTGGGGTAGTCTGGTGAGGTAGTCTGGTGGAGTAGTCTGTTGGGGTAGTCTGGTGGGTAGTCTGGTGGAGTAGTCTGTTGGGGTAGTCTGGTGAGTAGTCTGGTGGGTAGTCTGGTGGGGTAGTCTGGTGGTGTAGTCTGGTGGGTAGTCTGGTGGTGTAGTCTGGTGGAGTAGTCTGTTGGGGTAGTCTGGTGGGTAGTCTGGTGGGTAGTCTGGTGGGGTAGTCTGGTGGTGTAGTCTGGTGGGTAGTCTGGTGGGTAGTCTGGTGGGTAGTTTGGTGGATTAGTCTGTTGGGGTAGTCTGTTGGGTAGTCTGGTGGTGTAGTCTGGTGGTGTAGTCTGGTGGAGTAGTCTGTTGGGGTAGTCTGGTGGGTAGTCTGGTGGGTAGTCTGGTGGGGTAGTCTGTTGGTGTAGTCTGGTGGGTAGTCTGTTGGGGTAGTCTGTTGGGGTAGTCTGGTGGTGTAGTCTGGTGGTGTAGTCTGGTGGGGTAGTCTGGTGGTGTTGTCTGGTGGGGTAGTCTGTTGGGTAGTCTGGTGGGGTAGTCTGGTGAGGTAGTCTGATGGGTAGTCTGGTGGGTAGTCTGTTGGGGTAGTCTGGTGGTGTAGTCTGGTGGTGTAGTCTGGTGGTGTAGTCTGGTGGTGTAGTCTGGTGGGGTAGTCTGGTGGTGTTGTCTGGTGGGGTAGTCTGTTGGGTAGTCTGTTGGGGTAGTCTGGTGGGGTAGTCTGGTGGGTAGTCTGGTGGGTAGTCTGTTGGGGTAGTCTGGTGGTGTAGTCTGGTTGGGTAGTCTGGTGGGGTAGTCTTGTGGTGTAGTATGATGGGTAGTCTGGTGAGGTAGTCTGATTGGTAGTCTGGTGGTGTAGTCTGGTGGGTTGTCTGGTGGGTAGTCTGTTGGGGTAGTTTGGTGGGGTAGCCTGATGGGTAGTCTGGTGGGGTAGTTTGGTGGGGTAGCCTGTTGGGGTAGTGTGGTGGGTAGCCTGTTAGGTAGTCTGGTGGGATAGTCTGGTGGGGTAGCCTGGTGGGTAGTCTGGTGGTGTAGTCTGTTGGGGTAGTCTGGTGGGTAGTCTGGTGGGTAGTCTGGTGGGGTAGTCTGGTGGTGTAGTCTGGTGGGTAGTCTGGTGGGTAGTCTGGTGGTGTAGTCTGGTGGGGTAGTCTGGTGGTGTAGTCTGGTGGGGTAGTATGATGGGTAGTCTGGTGAGGTAGTCTGATGGGTAGTCTGGTGGTGTAGTCTGGTGGGTTGTCTGGTGGGTAGTCTGGTGGGGTAGTTTGGTGGGGTAGCCTGATGGGGTAGTCTGGTGGGGTAGTTTGGTGGGGTAGCCTGTTGGGGTAGTGTGGTGGGTAGCCTGTTAGGTAGTCTGGTGGGGAAGTCTGGTGGGGTAGTCTGGTTGGGTAGTGTGGTGTGTAGCCTGGTGGGTAGTTTGGTGGGTAGCTTGGTGGGGTAATCTGGTGGGGTAGTCTGATGGGTAGCCTGGTGGGGTAGTCTGGTGGGGAAGTCTGGTGGGGTAGTCTGGTGGGGTAGTCTGATGGGTAGCCTGGTGGGGTAGTCTGGTGGGGTAGTCTGGTGGGGTAGTATGATGGGTAGTCTGGTGAGGTAGTCTGATGGGTAGTCTGGTGGGGTAGTCTGTTGGTGTAGTCTGGTGGGTAGTCTGTTGGGGTAGTCTGTTGGGGTAGTCTGGTGGAGTAGTCTGGTGGGGTAGTCTGGTGGGGTAGTCTGGTGGGGTAGCCTGGTGGGGTAGCCTGGTTGGGTAGTCTGGTGGAGTAGTCTGGTGGGGAAGTCTGGTGGGGAAGTCTGGTGGGGTAGTCTGGTGGAGTAGTCTGGTGGGGTAGTCTGGTGGGGTAGTCTGGTGGGGAAGTCTGGTGGGGTAGTCTGTTGGGTAGTCTGGTGGGGAAGTCTGGTGGGGTAGTCTGGTGGGGTAGTCTGGTGGGGTAGTCTGGTGGAGTAGTCTGGTGGGGTAGTCTGGTGGGGTAGTCTGGTGGGGTAGTCTGGTGGAGTAGTCTGGTGGGGTAGTCTGGTGGAGTAGTCTGGTGGGGTAGTCTGGTGGGGAAGTCTGGTGGGGTAGTCTGGTGGAGTAGTCTGGTGGGGTAGTCTGGTGGAGTAGTCTGGTGGGGTAGTCTGGTGGGGTAGTCTGGTGGAGTAGTCTGGTGGGGTAGTCTGGTGGAGTAGTCTGGTGGGGTAGTCTGGTGGGGAAGTCTGGTGGGGTAGTCTGGTGGAGTAGTCTGGTGGGGTAGTTTGGTTGAGAAGTTTGGTGGGGTAGCCTGGTGGGGTAGTTTATTTCACTGTGACAACTTTTCCACTGTTCGCCACATGATAATGTTCATGAATCAGACAGTCATGTTCTTGAGTGAGCAGTGGATATAGAGATATTTCAACTTACTAGAAACTGTCATTTCAGAGCTAAATATTGCTATTTGGTGGTTATATTGGATTTATGCAAATGATTGAGCATTCTACACGCAGCCTTTAGTCTGTTTACCCCACTGTAGAAGTTGAAATCACTCAAATAGGTCATCAGAGACCATCAGTGTATTGATATTCCATGTCTATCATCAATCTCTTGGTGACAATCGTGGATTTTAAGTCGAGCAGGGGGTTCTGGTGACGGGGTTCAAATCTAAACGTTTTCACTATACTTCAGTGAGTTAGTGTGACAAGCTTATAAGCATATAAGTCCACTGTTTAGAGTTAAAGTATTCCGCAATCTGAACACATATTTAGGAAACATGTCGGCCATCATGAAATTGGCGGCCATCTTAACTTTTTGTAGATATGTCAGCAGTTCAAAACGTTCAGTAGCTCTGTGAATATCTTTTTCAGAAACATAGTATGGCTATTTTGCAAAACAACACATGCATTTTTCATAAATAGATTGGACCTCATCTAAAATATGGAAAATATATTGATAAAAGGGGGTCATATTGGTTTATACAAATTAGACATATTTCTCAAAGTGTGGTTGCTCGGGACTTTTTTAGCTTGCTGTTTTGGGGATCTTGTAGAAATGCATTGTTGTGAAATAAATTATGTTGTAATTTGTTCCTAGTAAAACCTTATTTTGCTTGGACAAAAAGGGATATATAGAATCACAAGATAAGTCAGTGGTACATTCTTCGTGCTCTATGATTATTTAAACGGTAATTTGTTTCTTTAACTAGCGAGCAGACGACATCTTGCATCACATCCGCCATCTTTTGTGCCTACCGTGGTCTTCTGCTGCATGATTACCACGAGATAGTATCTACAAATGAGAGGACGAGGAGTGTGCCGAGTTCGATGTTGCGTGAGGGCTGATAATCAGAGTCGTCTGCTGTCAGTCACGTGACCCTGGACGCTCGGACCCGCACTTCATACAACACTTATCTCTGACCACTGCTGACACGTTCGGATCATAACAGTGATTCCCAGGCGAGATGCGGGTCGGGGGGAATTCCATGAGAATCGATGTCGGCTTTTCTTGTCAAGCAGCTGATTACTTGGCAATTTATTGCACCAACAGATGTCGAAGAAACAAGTTGGAAGCAGTATGGCTGTGATTGGAGTTGAAAGTATGCTAATATTAAAATGTCTAGATCCCGAGAGTGATCTCAGCTTCACGAATTTTGTAACTTTCCCATTTCATCTAAAATGCCTTTGTGAGCTCCCACAATGCACCGGTATCCGTTATCTGGTTATAGTGTTGTGTGTATCAGTTAGCTTGGGTTATGTTTAGGCTGGTGTAAATAAATGTTTTTAGGGTCTTTTGGAAATCCAGTATATTTTAACGTGTTTAAGATAATGTTATAAAAAATACGACTTTTTTGTTATCCCTAGGGCGGTCGGGTAGCCCAGTGGTTGAAGCCTTCGCACGTCACGCCGAAGACCCGGGTTCGATCCCCGACATGGGTACAATGTGTGAAGCCCATTTCAGGTGCCCCCCGACGTGATATTGCTGGAATATTGCTAAATGCGGCGTAAAATCAAACTCACTCACTCCCTGTTATCCTTATTTTTTGCTATCTACTTTTTGCGTATATTTAGGGTTGGATTGAAAATGTCATTTTGTCTTTGGTGAAGGGCTTCCTTGTCGGATTACATTCCTAGTGCATCCATCTGATGCACCATCCTACAACATACAATTATGTAAGTGCATATGATAAACTATTGGTAAAAATGTTCACTCGTCATGCGGAAGACCGGGTTCGAATCTAAAAATGAAAACCAATGTGTGAAATATGTTGTACTCAGTCGTCACTCACTCACTTACCCTTCCACCCACTCACTCACTCACTCACTCATATATGGTAACTCTAGCCCAAAATAGTTCCGACTGTCCTTATGTATTGATATACATGTAGTTTCACAAATCGTTTGATCCAAATGTATATTCAAGTATGTAACTCTCGACAGTCACAGCGCTTTGGTATCTTGTTTTAAACGGAACCCATGTAGATAAGCATTGGCCTAAAATACTTACAGTGGAATCTGCCCAAAACGGAATCCGGTTAATCCGGAGCCTTTTCAATACCGAACCAAATGTACTGTACTGAATTTACTTATTCATTTCCATGGTAAAGTTCGCTGTGTATAGTTTGAGTTAATAAACACTGCTGCACTTTACACATCCAGTATTGCCATGCGTCAGAGGACACTGAGGACTTTGTTATTCTATTTCAGCATGTATTTGTATGATAGGACGGAAAAAAATATATATGATCGATAACTCAATGTAGCTCTCAGATGATTGTTTATCTTTCAAGTGAAGTACGTGCGCGTGGTTAATTGGATGGAATGGCAACGCTTATACACATATTATGCATATTCATTGAAACTATATGATGTACGTGCGGAAACAATAACAAGGTAGTCTCGCTATATATGTTAATCGGACAGGGACTTCCATTGTGCGATAAGACTATAAAATGACGCACTAGCATCCCCTATCACTTATGTACAGAGCGATATGAAGATCAATATATAGACTGCTGTTACAAAATGAAAAAAGGGAAATATTATTCTATGCCTACGCATACATTATTGAACGATGCTGTGAACATATAGAGCAAATGTGGTATTATCCAACAAGTGTTTAATTGAAATACATCGATGCAGCGTGAAAGGGTGATCTTGTTGCAAGATTTTAATATCGCCCCTGACTCACCCTACCGAAACGTACAATGGTAAGATTCAATTTCATTTCCTCTCGCAAATCCCTTTGAAGTTGCGCCTGGTTAATCTTTCTCTGTGATGTCACTGTGCTGTTGTTTTATTTCCGTTTTAATTCCTGATAGTCTTTTGTATTTGATCTTTTATATTCTCCCGCTCAGACAAACACGGTCTTTGTCCCGAGAAGACACTGGAAGTTGGAAATGTCAGCACGGCACGGAAAGTGTGTGTGGGTGCAGTGGAGAGATTTACACCGTCCTGGGCCAATGTGAGGAGCTTGTCGTCACGCCGAAAACACTCCACAATGCAACAGTGCAATGGCGAGGGAGCTCACAGATCAATCTGACCTTGTTCTGTAGAGAGGACGCCGTTATTTGGTTGTCAGAATACAAATGTCTTAAACAATCGTAAGGATTTTCATAATTAAAAATGTATATCCGCTCAAAGATTTGATTATAAACAATCATCACAGTATCCGGTCCCCCGTGAAGAACCGTTAGCAGAAATTCTGTGAATCTTACTTGCAATTGGATCTACCACAGTATCAGAATTAGTTGTTTTTTTGGTTTTTTTCTCCTTTGATGACACCCACGAGCACGGGTATAGTGCTGCGCTTTCGGAGACTTTAATCGGGGATATTCTTGGGTTCGAAACCAGAAACAGCGGATTCTGGCATTTAAACATACATGAACATGTGTTGTGAGTTGCAGCGACGAATAGACCAGTGGGCTACTCCACCACCGACATGAGGCACCCATCACTGGGTTCATAAACATCCTTTTTGTCAAACTTTATAACTATAACGTTCTTTGTGTCTTCTGCACTGGTCAAACAAGTTGTAACTTGATTTTTGCGAAGTTTGTTTTCTCATTATTGAGCTAATGATCAGTCGTACAAAGGTCATTATTTCAGAATAAAGTGCCACTGCCTTGTTCATCCAAATTCAAGACGCCCGTAGATGTAGATGGACTGTCGTCTCTGCTGCCGCTAATTTGATCCATGGAGAATCGTTGTGGTAACGTTTACACAAAGGACCGATCTGACCATTGTTTAGCGACGAGATGGCTTGTGGACTTGTCAATGTTCCGTTCAGAAAGTCGTGTGCTCCAGCCAAGCTGCACGTGATCTCGCGAGAACTGCCCCTGTCGTCTGCCCCGTGCACGTGCACGTCAACGGTAGCGAAGAGAATCTGACAAACTCTGTGGCTAGATGTTCGGTGAAATGTCAGCTGTTCACGCAAGAATTAATACATTTGCACTTAAAGCGGTGGATTCAATAAACGCGATAATTGAACATCGGGTATCCTAAACTCTATCCACAATGCTCCACATTGAGATTGATAATCTAATGGTCGATAAGTACAAGATGGCTTTACCCACACAGCCCACAAACAAATCTGTTTCTCTGAATGAACCTAATATTCAAGTATTCATCAGAAATCGGATAATAGATAACATAGAAATACATGACGCAATATGGTTCCCCATGACACAAATACCCATAAGGCCATATCACAAAGTCGACTTGATTGCAACTGCTGGGGGCCTATAGATTCAGCCCCAAATGAAGCCCAGAAAATACCCCGTAATTACCATTGCTCTGCACGGTCACATGCTAATATTTCAGAAAAATGTAATTGGAGATCCAGAGCTGCACGTTCCAAGTCATCAAATACAAATACCCTCAAAGTATCGTTTTGAAGCATACAGATCATCTTGGTCAATGCATTCTCTTAGTGGCAGCTGTCATAAAGTGAGGGATGCCGAGATTGATGGTAGGATGTTTTATTTCGCCTCGCTGATCAAATCATAGCCCACTCATTATCAATCAGAACATATTTCTCAATACTTCCCTCTACACTGCTCAAGCTAATTTATTAGATCATAAGCACATGACAAAAGGCAGTCCTGGCACCCTCGCGCAGTGTGGAGTTTCACCAATAATCTGTATGGCTAGTACCCTTGAATAATGCTAGATCTAAAACATTAGATAATCCTTAGAGAATAAATCATTAATTATTAAATTGTCATCTCCATCCGCCTCACTTCCGCTAGAACATCCTGGCATCACTTTATTGTCTCCTACAGATGGCGACAGTCGCTTTGTGGGCCCCTGGTTACTTCACGTGATGAAATACACCATTCAGGTGGTCCTACCAAAGAATCATGTTTCATGTAAATCACATTTGCCTTGAACAGTTCGTTATTTTGAAAAAAAGAACTCTTTTTAAAAATTAAAAAAAGTTGCAGAAAAATCTAGTAAATCTACATCTACATCTGAATCTACCGGGAAGACTGGACATGCTAACCCTTGGCGACTACCTGCTGTCATCACTGATTTTCAGTGATCCATTCATATTACTTTCACCGCTATTTTGCCTTTTACGCCCAATGGATTATGTTTCGGAGACTGATTATTCTCTGGCGTTGACGTTTAATTATTACAGTGGCCATATCGATGTCTCACTTACATATGCCCGCCGTTGTCTCACAAGATTCGTATGGCTGCCAGCCCGTGGCTTGCTGGACTCTTGTATACAAATCTCAGGCAAGACTCTTATTGTTGTGGAAGTCCAGATTTCTTCCGTCTGAAAATTACAACATTGGTGGGTTCTTTTGATCATACATTACAAGACAATGAATAATTTTCGTTCTAAGACGATACCTAAATCTTGTGAGACTTGCGAAACAAAACGGATCGTTGTTAGGTTCGTCTATCCCTTAATATCAGCCCGTTCCCAGCCTTTAAAGATTACATGGGGTGAGATGTTCGTTTAAATATTATTGGCATGTGACATTCTTTGTATTTGTGGGATGATATGGACTTACTTCTACTTGGGATATCTGGTGGTATTCAAAGTGAAAATAACAGAAACTGGTCAAAGCACATCTAATAACGACTCGTCACGATATGGCTGAAATATTGCTGATGTGACGTTAAACTTACCTCACTCACTCTGATAACGAAGGTATGAGATACAATAATGTGGCGATTCCATGGTATAATCTATGTTGTTTTACCTATCAATTTTCTTTTCGAATTCTACATCTGCATATACACATGTTTCAATTTCAATTAATTTAAAACCAAAATAATTACTCTCCCGGTATCCTGTGATCATCTCCTACAGTTTCAGTGTCAAGTCCTCTACCAACATCATCTTTATCTAAATCTAATTCTTTCAGAAATATACAATGTAAACACCAGAGAACAACCAGTCTCGGCCGGATTATTATCTGCCGGAACCGATTCCACTCGGCGTAAAAGACAAAATAGCGGTGAAAACTTTACGAATGGGTTACTGAAAATATCTCTTTATGAATCAGATATAGTTAATCTCGATTTTCTCATCATCATCATCATCATCATCATCATCATCATCACCTCCCCCACCACCATTACCATCCTCCTCCTCCTCCTCCTCCTCATCATCATCATCATCATCGTCATGAACAACATCAATATCAGCAACTTCATCACCATCACCAGAATCATCAGCATTGTCATTATCAGTTGTATTTAAGTACATGTAAACCCACACGTTACCGTCTCTCCTGTGACACTATTGAATACACAATTAATGTGAAACTCTAGTGATAGGTCATCCCTGTAAACAGTTTTGTTCACCAGTTCCATCTGCGATATCATTGTATTCGGAAAAAATGCTTGCATGTTATGATGTTGCCAAGACGCACAATTTCTGGTAACCATCCGTATCTGTAATAATACAAATGGAATTCACGTCTATACCATGTGTTAAGTTGTCACTGCAAACACGTTTTGTTTGTTTACAAGCTCAATCTGAGAAATCTTCAAAAATAAAAGTAGTGTGTACATTAGCTGCTGGTAGAGAGATATTCATGTTTACCTCTTTTGATAGGGGTGGGCTAGCCCAGTGGTTAAAGTGTTCGCTCTTCACACCGAAGACCCGGGTTCGATTACCCACATGGGTAAAATGTGTGAAGCCCATTTCTGGTGTCCCCTGTCGTGATATTGCTGGAATATTGTTATATGCGGCGTAAAACCATACTCACTCACTCAGTACATCTTTTGATAAGCTATCATTAGTGTTTTCTGGTTAAGTGAGGTGGAGGTCAGCCCCCTTTCATGACGTATTGTTTGGACAAATGCCAAATAAAGCATCACACCACTGTGTATCTGTTTATATTTATTTAATAAACATGTCTTCAAATTGGATTATTTAGTTCTAATGATATTATATTTTGAAAACTACATAAGAAAACATTATTTAACACTAGAAGTTAGTTGCATACGTGTGATGACAAATGTAGTTAATGTTTGTGTTATTTTGCAAATCAAGAAATCAAAAATTGGTTTTTAAAGGGAACCTTTCTGGCCCAAATTGGAGTTTTTTTTATAAAGAAACAAACCATTTCACCTTCAATAAAAACATGTTGGATTTTGTAAACGCCCTTAACCGCGACCAGCCACAAGCGCGAGGAGTTTCTTGACAAATGGACGAAAGACTGTTTCGGCAGTTACCCGAGACTAGATGTTGTATGGCGTTCACGTTTTATCTTTCCAGAATTACCCCCACGTTCAGTTCTAACTCCCCTGAATGTTCATGATGCAATACTGAAGTCTGAATACTGAATAACTACTGTCAACGTCGGGTATATCTCCTGATTCTGTTGAAGAAATGCAAACACTATGTCATTTAAATCTGAAAGCTGCTGTCGCTATTAAGTAGCAACAACAACTACTACTACTACTACTACTACTGATCGCCTCCGTGGTCTAGTGATAGAGTGTCCTCTCGGATAGCGCAAGGTCCGGAGTTTTCATTCCCGGCCGCATCAAATCAAAAGACGTTAAAAGATATGTGTTGTTACCCTGCCTGGCTCTCGGCGCTAAGGGGCTAAAACAAGGACTGGTCGGTTCGGAGTCAGTATACTGTGTCTGAGAGGGGTATTCATGTTAAACTGTGGCGTGATATCTCAGTGGGCTAGCACTGTAACATCAGTATTAGTCCGGACTAGTACACACACACACACACACACACACACACACACACACACACACACATGCATGCGCATCGCTATATAAGTGCAATAATCTACCACACCTACTACTACAACAAGTACTACACCATCCACACCTACTACTACTGTTGTTGCTGCTACTACTACTTCTACTTCTTCTACAGACCCGTGAAGATCTGGGGTAGAATAGGTCTTCAGCAACCCATGCTTGCCGAAAAAGGCGACTATGCTTGTCGTAAAAGGCGACTAACGGGATCGTGTGGTCAGGCTCGCTGTCTTGGTTGATGAATGTCATCGATTTCAATTGCGCGGATCGATGCTCATGATATTAACCACTGGATTGTCTACTCCAGACACGATTATTAACAGACCGCCGTCATATGGCTGGAATATTGCTGAGTGCGACGTTAAAAAAACAAACAAACTTCTACCACAAACAAAACAAGTCGGGGTCGTCTGCTACATTAACTACTAACTTTCTTGTCGTTTATTTTATATACATTTCAAAACTTCCACAACAACCATTGACGCAACGGTGATCCCGTTATCACTGAGACGGTATTGACGTCACGCTGGCTTGTTGTGAACAATCTGTGGATTCCACAGGGAAAACGCTTACGTTGAAAAAGGCCGCCATACACAGGGTGCTGGTGATATTGAGTGAATAGGGGTTAGAAATAGAAGCGATTCAAATTCAGCAGTGACATGACCTTGCTATCGAACCTCGTGGGTTGACGATTCCAGTGAACACGATCTCTAGAAGGAAGACATTTGGTCTGTGTTCGGTTGTCTTGTTATTGCATCGTCTTAGGTCAAATGGTAACACAGACATTTACTACACATAATCTCTTACGAGAGTCCAACTGGCTAACATCATACATGCATCAAAACGGTTGTCAAAGTTTTATAGAATGCACATGCTATACTCCTTTCTATCCATGAGCGAACTCATCACTGTTACCCCCAATAAATAAATAAATAAATAAATAAATAAATAAATAAATAAATAAATAAATAAATAAATAAATAAATAAATAAATAAATAAATAAATAAATAAATAAATAAATAAATAAATAAATAAATAAATAAATAAATAAATAAATAAATAAATGTGTTACATTTCACCAGTTAAATGGCATTGTGTTCAAATTGTTGTTTGTTGACCCCTCCAAAATACCATTGTTCTTTTGTAATTTTCTATTTTTTTTATGAAACCGTCTTTGTTTGCAATATTAAAACATTGAAATGACAAATCATCTTTCAACGGTACACCTTTTTTTTCAAATATGAAAACAAACAAGCTGGTTGTTTGACAATTTCGTTTTAATTAGTTCGAATAATGAAAGAACAATATCCTTCAGTGCACACCACTGTAATAATCTCACTACCAAGTCCACCAGTAACACATATTAATACATGATTCGTTTTAACAAATAAAATTGTCCCTATTGACAGAGAAATGCTTAACTTATTACTATGACAAGCCTTTGGGGCATGGGCGTTCCAAGAAAATATCGGATAATTGCAATATCCGACTGGGGCGAATAATTGTGCGATATGTTATTGATTCTTGAATGAAATCAGGCGTATGGTAACATTATATTGGGATTGTGTATCATAACCATAACACTACAGAGTCCATCAATCGCTGCTTCCATCATGCCTCGGCGGGGTTCTGACATGCGCAGAAAGCAATTTAGCAGCTCATGAAGATTTTTTTCACCCTTCACCATTTATTCCACAATCCGACTTAGGAGTTTAGCGGTGACTTGATGAACCTGGCAATGCAGGAACATATCGAGCAGGGCTGTGTAGGTTTTGTTGGTTGAGTGAAGCTGCCATGACTCAGTGATTGATTTGTGACTCAGTCGTATCCGACGCTAAATCCTAGCTCGGGTAAAGAACGACTAATCAATTGAAGCAATTCACTGTTCAGTCCACGTTTCTGTTTGTAACAGTGGTTGTCCAGCTGCCGGCGGATTTAGTCGCTGCTTTCGTCAAATTAAGGGATGTTGTACGGGGCAGTGGGGGGACAGGCAGTCCTCATAAAAGTCTCCGGGAGACCTCATGTTGGCGGACACCCATCCTGGAATACGAGAATAGATATTACATCTTCCTGAGGCAAGGGCGTTAACTGACTATAAAAGTCCAGTTTCCCCCCCTTGCCGATAAAAGTCCAGTTTCCTCCCTTGCCGAACTAGGCTGGAATTTCCTGCCTCGATCGTAGCTCCACCAGTGGCTATTACAAGTTAAGTCTCTTCCATGTCCCTCCTACTGACCAATCAGATTCCACCTCTCGTATCACTTGCATTGCGTCAAACAAACTGGCGGCGCACAGTCAAGGCGATCTGATCGATAATCAAGATCTATATTGTAATAAGACGGGTGCATGAAATTTAGCACCTCGAACACCTTGATTAAAAACATGAAAGATTGGGAAAGTAACTGTCGACGCCCAGTTGATGGTACACCTGCTTTGCAAATCTTGCAGTCGACCGAAATCTGCAAGTTGAAATCCATGTTGTTTACGAACCGGATGTCTAGTTCGGTTGGCGATTTTGAATGGAAAATAAATAGACTCGTTAGTACAGCCAAGATATAACTCCAGAATCCCTGCCTCGGGAAGATGGAACGTACCAGAAGAGGTAAGAGTTGTTTCTGTATAGCCAGAATATGAGCAAGTTTAGGGTAAGAAGGAAAATAATCTGATCAAAATTTACTGTGGTGAGGAAGTATATTTACGGCATGCCCAGAGATGAGAATTTTCACATGATGGGTTTCACCAGTTGTCAGTCAATGATGGAAAACTCAAGGCACAGAGCATGTTCGAATCCCCAGAAACGACGTCATGATAGAACAATGATTTATCGCGAAATAAACCACGCTTCGTTCTTCATTGCTCTTTGCAATGTATCGCGTAGACATCTTATATAGTCAGTTAACGCCTTTGTCTCGGGAAGATGTAGGTATTATATCGCATGTGATAGTTCGTAAACAGGTACCATCACAAACTGATATCGAATTCAGTTGGCTGATATGCGAACTTTGACCTTTCTGGCACTACTTTCGATTCATTCACTCATCACGAGTTTGACTACAAACGTAAACAAGAATAGATACCCTATAATGGGGGTTAGTTAACTGAAACTATTGTCTGACGGACAATATGGTCGAACACAGGTAGTTTTCCCTTGAAAATCTAAAATATTTGTAAAAGTAAGCTGACGGTAACCAGAGACCATATACCGATAAATGATCTCTGGGGTAACTTACCAAAGCAGACGAGGTTGTGATATCAGCTGTTTATATGTTGTCCATCATGTGTGATATCAGCTGTTTATATGTTGTCCATCATGTGTGATATCAGCTGTTTATATGTTGTCCATCATGTGTGATATCAGCTGTTTATATGTTGTCCATCATGTGTGATTTCAGCTGTTTATATGTTGTCCATCATGTGTGATTTCCAGACAGATGAGTCGGCAGACCTGACAATTGAATCTCACAATTTCGTGTGCATCGACTAAGACCAATCCGGCGATAACCATTCGCAATCATGGCCTTTTCATAAATTTGCTTTGTATGTTAATTCCTAGTTATGAGGGGCAGGGTAGCCCAGTCGTCTAAGGCGCCGCAATTCGCTGTGCAGAGTAGCGTCCCTTGCCAGAAACCTATGATTGTTGGTTCGAATCCCGGTTCGCCCCGATGATGTTTCTTGGTTTCACAGCACCATACCCGTGCTCGTTGGTTTCACCAAAGTGGTAAACGTCTGAGACCTGCATCACTTTGGGCTTTCCTCCCACATTTAGCTGACACGCCGCAATAGAAATAGAATAATGTTCAATGCGGCGTAAAAACCCAACTCACTGACTCACTCACTCCTTCTGACATTCCAACACAATCTTGACGTGGGCCTGACCCACCAGAAGGACTGTAGCAGCTTGCCGAGCTGCGTGCAGTCGCGACGGCAAAACAATTTTTTTCAATCATTTCAACGTAAAACGTGTTGTTTCATCGATGTGAGATATGTACATTTAAAAAAAAGAAGATTAAAGGCAATCATGTTGGGACAAGTGTTTGATATTAGTTTGGATCGAACCAAAATCCAGCGAAACTCTTATGTCAGGAGAATTTATATTTAAATTTGACTT